CGGACCCAAGAAAAAAGTTGAGACGGGCAACAAAGTAGGGGCAGACCCCCTATATCAATTCCACTAAATCAATCATTATTATAAGGGACAACTTTTGTACGAAAATTGAACTATTATATGCTTATTTTTGCATATTATATATAAAAAAGTGTTGTGTGCAAATTTTCTTTTCAAATTTCTACTTTCCTTTTTCTTAGAGGCTATTAACAATGAAACTACTTTATTAGTATTCTTAGAAAACTTCATTATTTTTATTTTTAAGTTTCTATTTCATTTTCTTTGTATAGAAAACTACACATATTATAGGTATGCCTATGCCTTTGTACAGGGCCGTCTCTAGGAATTCGGGGCCCTGTGCGAAATGCAAAATGGGCCCCTAAATTTAGAAAAGACTGTGTAACTAAAACCTAATACAGCTAAGCGTACTCTCAGATAATTGCATAATTTCAAATGAGTGTTATCACATATACTATTTAGAATATATTAGAAACTAATGCTGAAAGAGTGATGGTACTACTAAAGCAATAAACTGACCTCGTCTTCTTACAAAAATGAGTATCCATCTTGTGTTTCTTGAAATGAAGATTTCACTTATATCTTCGTAATAATTTTCTTCAAGGTATCATTTCCCACTGTTATTGTCATCAAAAAATTCGGTCTTTCTTGAAATGAAATATGCAAGTATAGCTAGCTATCACACAAGTATGAAGAATTAGCACTAGCACTAAAAAATGGATTACGGACAGTGTATGACATTGATCGTATTAATTTGATTAGAACCAAGTACAAGCCTAACTGAGTAGTACTGCTATACTAGTAGGGATTGCGTTCGATTTGGCATGAAAATATAGAAAGAATCAGAGAAAGATTGTATATAAAAATTGACCTAATGCAGTGTTCATCACCCATCGAATTTGATTAAAAACTTATGATTTACGGCTTACTTGGGATATATTTGGGGATGATTGGACGAGGTGTTGTAGTAGCAAAGCCGGCGGCGACGGCCAGATGCACGGTGGACTCAGGTGTGTTTGGTAGCATGTATGAACATAGCCTAATTTTTCTCTTCTGATACATGCTGAGTGTAGACATACTGAGTCCATGCATTTGCTGTTGTTTGGCAGCGGTATATGTGCCGAGACATGCTGAGCTAAGAGTTTGTTTGGCAACCTGTATGTATGTAGACATGCTGAAAATTTTGAATTCCGAATAATTTTTTTGAATGATGAACAAAATTGAAAAAATGTGAACAAAAAATTAATCATATTTTTAAATTCTAACCTTTTATTGAAAATTTAAAATTCCAAAGTTTTTTTAAAATTTAAATAAATTTCAAAATTCTGAACTTTTTCGAAAATTTTAAAAAATGAATTTTGTTTTTTCTAAAAAAATTAAACAAAAATTGAAATATGAAATTTTTTTGAAAAATTATTTTTTTGAAATTATAAACATTTTTTGCAAATTTAAACAAAATCTGGAATTCTAAACATTTTTGAAAATTGAAACAAAATTTGAATCTCTGAACATTTTTTTGAAAATTTAAACAAAAATTAAAATTATGAATTGTTTTTTTAAAATTTAAACAATTTTGGAATTCTGAACATTTTCAAAAAATTTCAAAAATGAATTTATGATTTTTTTTCAAAAATATAAAAAAATTCTGAAATTCTAAACATTTTTGAAAATTTAAATATATTTGGACGTGGTCTGGTGGGTGGGGATGAGGGTCGGGGCCAGCATGGCTGCCTCCATGCACCCTTTGGGTGCATGAGATGGGCATGGCTGAGGGCCCTTTTTTGCATGAGTTGGACATAGCCCAGGTGAGCTCATACACCCTACCAAACAAGCAAAAATGGGTCGGATTGGGAACTTTTGCCTCCATGCACCCTCCATACACCCTACTAAACACACCCGAAGACGACTGCGATCGATCTCGTCGTCGAATTAGTCGGCAGCACCTCGCTATCCCCACTGGGAATCGTGGAGACACGAGCGTCTGGTTTCGTGAGTAGGCCTGACTTGTGTTTCTTTATCTGAATTTCTACAAACAGGCCCAAAGCCCCAAACAGACTGGGGCATGGGTACTGGGCTAACTCGGCCCCTACTACTTTTTTATCCGAATGACCGGTAATTTTCGTTTGATCGTGAACCACGCAGCTGCAACACGCCCAGCAACGATGATGAATCGGAACAATTTTACCGATTTTCTCTCCGTTTAGCGCCCCCCGATTTTGGGGGACCTATGCCATCGCACAACTCGCACACCCTTGTCAACGGGCCTGCCTTTGTACATCATCCCATGCGAAGCTTAATTGAACTCTAACTTCGGATATATAGCCAAACCTCATATCATAATAAAGTTTCATTGGACCGATTAATCAAAACTAACACAAAGAAGATATATCTATGAGTTCCCAACACACCTGTGTGTAGCTTTCAGATTCTGTTCAACAAAATATACTACTATAGCTAGTTAACTTGTGCTCTGAGCCAAGAAAAACATATGAAGCATGCACGTAACCATAAGAACTCAAGATGGTCGCCGCCGGCTAGTACATATGTGATGTCGACCCAATCTAGATGTCAAGTGATTTCGTACGGATAGGTTTGGTCTTGTGCTTGTATGTGTGTAAGTAGTGAAGTACACACCCTACCCCTTTGTAATTTGCATAACCATGAGAGATCAATAAAAAAAGAACATTAGGTATGATACGTACCAGTTGCCACCAATCAAGCCATGCATCGGTGTGTGTGCCTGTATTGTGAGTCAATCAACTAGATATCAGTCAGCCGTGTTGTGTTGTATGTGTTGTATTGTGAGTCAATCAATTAGATATCAGTCAGCCGTGTTGTGTTGTACTCCCTCCATTTTAAAATATAGTGCGCCCACGCTTCCCAAGGTCCAACTTTGATCATAAATTTAACCAACGAGACCAACTGCGGCGGGAGAAAAAATTATATAATTGAAAACTTCTTTCGAATACGAATTCACTGATATAATTGTTGCTCCCGCCGCAATCAGTCTTGGTAGTTAAATTCACAATCAAAGTTGAAGCACGGGATAGAGAAAGCACTACATTATGGAATGGAGGGAATATGTGTTGTATCGTGAGTCAATCAACTAGATATCAGTCAGCCGTGTTGTGTTATATGCGTGCGTATTTTGATCTCGAGGGAAGAATTCATCAAGTCCAATGTGCCCGCTTGTCAAAAAAGAAGAAGTGACCGGCCAAAATTGTAAATTCGGTCACTTGACCCCTAGCCAGCCCTGATTGAACATATATATAAACCCTCCTGCTAGGCTACCCGCCTAGCGAGCGCAACTGAGTGCGCTAGCGATCCAGGGCCGAACGATCTTTTTACTAGCGCTCGTTTTTGGACGAGACTTACCTACTTCCCGCGTGTGTGTCCATCCGTGCTCCCGCATACATGACAATATTTGATTGGAACAAAATAAGGCCCGGCCCCACCTCCTTAAAATTAGGGGAGAGATGATTAGATTAAAAAGGAAAAAAGGAAAAAAGACAACCGTAAGATGAAGTGGGAGCACGGATGGAAGCACGGAGAGGAAGCAGGCAAGCCGGATCCTTCGTTTTTGGCCGCTGGCAGCCGGTCAACCGTTGGTATTTTTCTACGTTTGTCGCTGCTTCCCGAACGGACGACGGGTGACCCTGGTTACCTGCTGCATCGAAAGAACGATGTGGGTTTGCCTCGTTTCGGTGGGCGAAAAGAGGGAAACAAAGCGATGGAAATATCTTCCTCGTCATCCCTCTATCTCTTCCCACCCCTCTCCTCTTCGGCTCTTCCCCATGCCGCCGCCGCCACCACTTCCCCCATCCTCTTGGACGCCTCGTCTCTTCCACCTCCGCCTCCATCACCTCCTCCTCCCCTGCCTCCGCACCCGACCACGCGCTGTGGACGAGGAGGCAACAGCTCGGGAGGCAGGCAAGAGGAAAATGGGAGTGATCCCCTCCCGAGCCCCGCGCCTCTCCTCTTTCCCCTTTCCCTCCCATCTCGAGCTGCTGCAGCTCCTCCCTCAACCCGCGGCGCGCCTTCTTCTCCGACCGTTGTTGCCCGCACTGCTACCGCCACGGCCTGCTACTGCTCCTCCTCCTCCAGCTCCTCGCCCCAGCGACGCTTCCTCCCCTCCTCTCATGCAAGGCGTCTTGGGGTGTGGAGGCGGCGGGGCAGCAGCCAGTCGTTGCCCCGCAGGGGCAGCAACAGGTCGGCTTTCCTGTTGTGGCGGCGACACGTCTAGAGGAACCGGTCGCCCTTCTCCTGGATGAGCGCCGGAGCCGAAAAGCCGGAACCGACCATTGAGGAGCTGGGGCAGCCATGCCACATAGGAAGGTCGAGGTGGACCAGGAGAAGCTGCACGAGGCTCCATCGCCTCCTGCTCAAGTAGGTGCACACACTCTTCTCCTCTTTCTGATTTTGCCTCCTTCCAGTGCACTGCTGTTAGTGCTTCTATCATTGTTTGTGCAGATTTGGTTTCTCTATGCCTACATGGTGTTTGATGAAAATCCAAGAAGGACGGGGAGGATTGATCTATGTATGTAAGCCATCTAATTTAATTCTTCAAATAATTAGTTCCGGTCAATCATAACAAGACGAGTAGCTTTGCTTACGTTCTCTTTGATCCTTTCTGAAGGCGGATAAGAGAAGAAAACTGAAACATGTTCACTAGAGTGGCCTGGGGTGGCCTGCGAGCTACGAGGATGGGGCTGCGAGACTGGATTGGCAGCCGACAGCGAGAGAGGAAGGGTGGTTGTTCCTGTGATGAGGTGGTGATGATTGCCATAGTGGAATTTTGTAGGTAAAATCCGAGATGTCTCTTGTTGTGTTATTTGTGTGATGAATTTATGTGGTAGATAGATAGATTTCTTTTTGAAAGTCTGACATGCCTACAACTGTTGGGAAATGAACTTGTTAGCTCTGTTTAATTTAATGGCATATTAAACCTGATGCAGCTTGTAGCTGGTGATGTTTTTTTAGTAACTGTAATTGTTTAGTTCGATGCCATGTCATTCATCTAAATTATTTGAGAGTTGCAAATGATGTTTCCATCTTGCAACACTATTGAAAAGGGAGCGCCTTGTGTGTTTTAGGTACGACGGCAGCGAGCTTTGAGGGCCCCCGGTTTGGTGGCAGCATGAGCCTCGTGGAGTTGTCTCGGACAACATCACATCTATTTGTTTTTGTTTCCCCACTTAGACTACTGCTTTGATTCTGAAGTGTGGAGATGGATGTGACTTACCATGGAGGAAGTGGGTACAATATCCATTTGAAAGATGCAGCAGGCTCAAAATAAGTTTCCGGTAAGCTTTCATATTTCCCTGTTTCATCCCTCTCTCTAACTGTGACTATGCAAGCGTTGGTTAATTACACCCCTCTAAATCGGGTGCTCCTGTCGTTTTTCTCATTTGGTATGCTCTTGTCCTCTCCTTGACCACCACTCATATTTAGGTGCAAGTGTAGCTGCAAGCCAGATTGGTTCTTACAGCAATGGAGTGATTTGTACCCTGCAAAGTTCCTCTCTTGGTTCACTGACACGATCAACCTATGTGCACGTAGATGATGTTTTGTTTCCCTTCCTAGAATCTCTGTTATATATTGGTGTTGATGTTTTCTTCACTTGGAGATGCAAAAACAGCCCGAGACAGTTCAGGCTGAGGATTCTCCCTCGCTCGAGGATTCCAGTAACTATGAGTTCTAGGCGAAGATGTACGTTTCCTACAGACATTTTCAGTTTGACGAGAGCTACTTTACAACTTACAAGTATTGCAGCTTATTCAGCTGAAATTTCCAGAAAACAACCGGGAAGGCTACAAATTATCAGCTTGCCCCTGTCTTTGCAGTATAAATAAAAACTACATTCTGTCATCTTCAGTTTGCTGAGCCTGTCTATTTTTTTTTCTTTCTTTGTTTTTTCTTAGGAGTAGAGTATGACCTGCTTTCGTTTATTATAATGTAAATCGGAGGGCTGCCTCTTTTTCAATAAAACATAACTGTTGTTGAAGCGAAGAGGGTAACAGACAGCTGGGGTTTAGTTCTATATGATTCATTACTTCACTGCATGGTCTCGGTCATGAACCCGCAGTGTGTCTACCAGCAAACCATATAGAACTGTGGACGAGCTTGCTTCTCATGTTTAGCTTTTAATTTACACATGACTAAACTGAAGGAATTGTGGGCGAGCAATTAATTATGTATTTGAACATGTCAAGAAATGTGCAAAGTATATGTTTATTACTTTTTTCCCTTTCCCCATTCCCTACTTTTTGATAACATTCAAAATATGTGCTATCGCTCATTGGTAATTTCCTTTTAGGTGGATAGATGATGTTGTTTTGTGTTAGTTATATTTTCCATGAGTAATCCAAGATATTTCTGAATTTATGTTGTCATTTTGCAGCTTTGCCATTCAGCTTGAAAAAGTATGTTCCGTCTAGGACAGAGAACCATGATTATCACCACTGTTGGAGGAAAAAGCTAGAGCAATTATGTTTCTACTTTCATGCATTATGGTTGTCTATTCTGGGAAGGATAGAGTAAGTTTCCCTTTTATACAAAGGCACTATTCAGGATCTTAATAAGCTCAGGATTCTCAGGCCATGGTCTTTGCTCTTTCAGGTTTACATATTTCGTATGCCTAAATAGTGAAGGTACTTTATTTTCATTTAACTGTTTCTATGCTATTCTCTCATTGTCTGTGTTGGCTAAGAAATACTAATGTAAATATTCTTCGATTTGAAAAGTTGTCATCTCTCATTTTTTTCGTTTTACCGCTTTCTTGTGCTACTGTTAGGCAAATTTAGCTTTCAATTCAACAATTTGCTTGCTTTCTAAAGCATGTACTACTGTTGAAGTTCAGTATATCAAGTAATAATAGTGTGTTAAAATGAATAATACACATTGAGCTATATATATTTGCTGCAATTTGGGGCTGCTGTTGTAATGTGGTATATCTCCTCCCTTGTAATATGTAAGGTTGTGACAGTTTAATATTCTTCCGCTCAGCAGCACCAAGTACGTGTTTGCAGCCTTTCTGTGCTACATGTGAGTTCAGTTTACTGCTAACTGCAGTTGTTTATGGATTAGTGTATTTTGTTGTAGGTTAAATGGAGTTAGTAAGACCATATTTGATGCTGATCATAAGATACTAACGGGCTCCATGTAATCCCAAGTGCATTGAACAACAATTGTCATTTTGCAAGATCTTCTAGAGGTACTTCATTTTTGCTGATGAAAATGACTACTCACAAAATTTTAATATGATAATTTTGCTGATTTGATACATTATCTTTCAAGTTAATTCAGAGATTTGATGATACAGTTTAGAGTACCAGCGGTGTTATGTTCCACAGTCCACACTCTTTCCTTGAAGCAATTTTAGAAATATTTGAAACTATGAGCGACCAATTTGAATTATATGGAATGGATTCCTGAAGAAAATCTAATTATTGATGTTTTTTATGGTGGTACTATGTTGCTGGTTTGATTACTGATAAATGCTTGATGAAATGACCGAAATGTTTTTTTTTGTCGGGCGACTTAATTTATTATTGTTCTCTTTATCCCTTGAAAAGTGCTGTGTAACAATACAAATTTGCTTTCGTTCGCAGGGCTATATGTCCTATGCTCCTCTTGACGACATATATGAGGACTCGCAACCCTGAGCCTGGAAGACAACCGTTAAGGCGGTGGTCATGGGGCAACGATAGTCGATAGCTACTATCAGAACATAAACGTATGGCCCTCCTTGTTGCCATGAAGGATTATCGTCTATTGGATTTGCAGAACCAGTTAATGACAAGATGATGGTAGTAGCAATGGAGGGTCGTGGTTTCTGAATGCTGAGGCTTCCAGTTTTTAGGATCGTAAACTCCAAATTTGGAAATGATATTGTCCAATGTATTCACACAATTAGATATCATTTTAGATTATCTTCCCTTGGAACTTCTGCCATGTAAAGCATGGTTGCCTTTGATTTACCGTTGTGCTATGAACATAATGTATTGGCGTCCTCTTCTCACGAATCATGCTGACACTTAGCTTCTGTTTTCCGATGTAGGGTTATTTAGTATGAACAAATATGGCAACAGTCATTAGTCGTGCTGTTTCTTGAGGTGATGCCACTGCTACAGGTATGACATTATCATTGGACCTTCAACTATATTTATATTATGTATATGCTTCCAGAGAGTACTTGTTTCTGTACTATATACTAAATGAAAAAAAATCCTTTTATGCTAAAACATGACATGGCTAATTAGTAATTGCACTACATTCCTAATAACTTTTAAACTTTTGGAAGGCATGACAGTGTTCAACCTTGATTAGGTACGTACATAAAGTACTACCCTTTAACGATTTGAAAAGGCATGTCATGTGATACAACTCGCCTTGCTAACTGTGCTACAAAGTGTCTAAACCTTGCATTTTATATCAGGATGGTAAAATTTCAACAATACATCATCGTTCAAACTAAACTGAACTTGATAGAGTTTCACCGGATGCAAAACCACTGTTGATAATTTAGCTAATCGATCATGAAGTTGGTGGTTACTCTACACTGCAGAGTACTGTAAAATAGGAAAACACTAATAAATGTTGTAGTTGTATATTGACTATAAGTGAACCAGTTCTAATTGCTAATTAAAATACAAATGAAGGAACACTTGCGTGATCATACTGCAATTAATTTAACGTACCTTAGATTTGAAAGACTGCTTGTTTCCCCCCTTCTATTGCCAAGTTCATGGTTTCCTCGTTGTCATATTGTTC